TCTAGCGCCCCCTACCACTGCGGTGGCTTGGTCGTGGTTATCATTGATGATCGGAACCAGTTGCTTTTAGGGGTGCAAAATTCAATCGGAAAGAATGTAGTATCCAGACGCAATCTCTGTGCTGGGTACGAAGTCTATGGAGAGTTGAGTGCATTTTCACAATAATTATCTAACAAAATTGGAAATGTTTCTCAGTCACAGATTCGTGTCTTTTCAACATTTTTTGCAATGACTGAGCTTCATTGAGCTAATACATGATGCAAAAAGTGGCGTCAGGATGCAACATTCTTTCCTCCAAATCCAGTCTTGGAAGTTGGACCAAGACTCCCTTCCATGATGTTTCCATAACCAGGGGATGGTTTGCTTGCACGAAAGCCATAGCGTAACCGACAGAGCACAAGGAGTCAGCTCCCCTCCCCCAAGTCAAGACATATTCATCAGTGCCCCTCCAGAAAATGAGGTCCCCAAGTCACCCAATGAACCCTTCCCCTTTCTACATGTACTTGGAGCCCCGCACAGCACTGCACTTGAATAAGAATGTCTGACCACACTTGTTTTCTCCCATGTTCCCCTTGTTGCTGTGCATGCTCTTCACAGAACCGAGGTGGTCCACTAATTGACTACAAGCCCCTGATCAGGAGTTTATATGCAACAAAGCACAAACCATAATTAGGATGGCACAAGACAGTAGAGTACATTTTCTTTCCAACAAACAACATGTCACTGTTAATTGAAAATTGCACTTTGAATTACATGTACATGTTGTATTTACATTAAATGATTTATTTGCAGCTTACCAAGACACCATCTTAATAACGCCAGTTCTAATCACAACAGGTACACTGAATGGTCATCAAAACTGAGATTACAGCGGATGAATACTGCAATTGAATGGTTACAGTGATTTCACTGAATTTAACGCAACACAACATTCAGGGTATAACTCTGTTGAGATTTACACATACAACATGATACAACATCATCTTCATCTTCCTTGAGGCGTAGCTTAAAGAAAAAACAGCACCCTACAAAACCGATTTCATTTATATCTATTATGACAACAATTACAGATTCATAAATACCTAAGCCAGTTTACCCATTCCTGTTGGTCGAGAGCAAGTCACGTGGCCGGTTTTAACAGTTGATAAAGACCGGCTGGCTGGTCTTAAACATTTTTCCAGTGTCGCATGAAATTTGGACTCCTATGAATTCCGGTGCCTCTTACCGTTTTATTGGTTGAACGTTCACAATCCTCAGGCATGCGCAACACTACCAGTGAGGGAGTATTTCATAGTCCTAAATTCACAATACACCGGCACAGCTGCGTTCTGCAGGTTTTTGAACGTTTTGATTTTTTGACCGAAAAGGTATTTATGAATGGGAATAAATATGTGCTTGGCCGGTATTAAACACTATGTTAAGACCGGTTGGAGTCTGGATGCTGATAATTACCCTTGCCTTCGGCTTGGGTAATTATCAGTATCCAGACTCCAACCGGTCTTAACATAGTGTTTTAAACCGGCCAAGCACACAATTATTATTTAAAGCATTCAAAGAATATTTTGTAAATCTGATTGTTTATCTTTATCACTCGCCTCATTCAAAAGAAGGGGGAAAAAAGCTATTTTTAATAAGTTAATAAGTAGACCCCTTCCAAAGAAGTGGATTAAAATCTTGTTCCCCTTTAAAAGGTAACCTTACTTTAGGCCAAAAAAAAAAAGTCTCCGGTTTCTGGTATGCGCGCGCGTCGCCGTAGCCATGCGCGTCGGCAAAATGAAAAAGTTTTTTTTTCAATGAAAGATGATGTCTCAAAACCGCCAAACTCACTGGTTTGACTGGAATCCTGCTGCTGCAAAATTTTAACGTGTTTTTAGATTAGGTTATGGTCGAGAATAAGCTTTATGTGACCTCTCTGGACTCCCATATATTTGCACTAAGTTTAGTCGGGCACCATTTGCAGTCATCAGCACACATTTAAAGCAAAAAAATCAGGTAAAAAAAAAAAAAAAAGCCGCGTCACCGCACCACTTTTTGGGCAAGCTCCATACCAGAAACCGGAGACTTTTTTTTTTTGGCCTTATGAAAAGGTTATCAAAATACATGTAGGTATGTAGATTATTGTTATTTCATAATTAATGAGTAATAAGTCTGATCAATGAAGATACAACTGCTTTACAAAGAAACAAAAGAGAAAATAGTCAAAGCACAATATTTTACCTTGTAAGGAACACAAAATGGCAACTACATTGTACATGTACACATAAACACAAACAGAACTGATATCGTTTTGTGTTTCCTACCATTTTTCAAAGCAAATCATTTAAAGGACTCTCATCTCCAATTGCCTAAATACATATATCAATAAAATCCATTTTTTTTCTGAACACATATTGATATGAACAATACAATACATTTATCACACAGATACCAACTGCAATTCCTATTGAAAATCACATAGCCTAACACAAGACATGCACGATGAAATCATTTGAAAAGTCCACTACTTGGGCATACAGTTGATAAGCAGATGCTCGTAAAGAGTGAAGTATTAATGAAAGAATTAAAAAAAAGTTAACAAATTCAAAAAATATACATTTCAAGCAGGCACAATATATAATGACAGTAACTTCAACTCTTCAAGCCACGGAACATGTTCTAAATTTTACTGCTTCCGGTACATGTACCGTGGTTCTCTTCTGAAGAAGAATGATTCTATTTCAGTGGTTATTAAAAAAAGAGATGGTTTAAAGCTTGTAACTCTAGAACAAATCTGTCTAAACTAATTTGAATGTCTCAGATACTGACTGCAATCTCTGCCTCTTTTTCTTTTACGATTTCCATTCTACACTTAAAACATTTGACATTTACGTTTCTATCTATGTAAGTCATGTACGAACATGGTTTCGAAAAAAAAAATGCCTTCTTTAGGCATACATCTTCCATAAAGACACAACGAATACATTTATACGTGCCTCTTTTTTCCCCAAAAAAACTGAGCTACTTGTGACAATGACATTCTTTTCCAACTTGTGACAAGTGACATTCTTTTCCAACTTGGCAATAAAAATGAAAGGCTGGAGCCTGTCCACCGCTTAAACCACTAAGCACATCTTACATGTCAATATATTCCTTTTCGTTGTTTGATTATTCGTGCATTCAATTTGGGGATGAAACTGCCAGCTTCTGTAATTCATGTTCAAAGACACCGTACAAAATCGACCTTACACCTGAGTTGCGGCTGTTATTGGAATGGTTTTAAATACAAAGGGGTATAGAAAATGCACTTTGCAAGCGCTTAACACAATGTATACACATTGTATACACATTGTATACATTCATGAATGAATGAAAGTATACATCCATCACACTCAAGCACCACAGGGTTTGCAATTGCTGCCATCACAGAATAGTGCAAATACCTTTTTTTGTCGTTTTGGTCAAATTTTCAGATTGAATATGGGTTTTACTTGGGCTTCCCTACTAACTTGAAAGAGTTGAATAAAAATATACTATCAAATTTGACGACAGCATTTATGAGTTGACTTAATATCTGTGTACAAAATGCTGTGTGCGAAAAAACTATTGTACAAGCATTTCTGTAATGGTGTAAAAGTTACATGTACATTAATTACAGTTCTACGCATTTCAATTCACTCCGTGAATTACAAGATGCACCCCAACTGGGCAGCTTACAAAAACACAAGTCACTGTCTGTCCTTTAAAGACACTTATTTATATTGTGCATGAATCTACACATACATGATTCCTCATTCTATTTATCGTTACCTAATTAGTTTCTTATCTATCCTGGGTATCCCGATCATTGATTATTACAAATATTCTGCCTTGTTTCCAAAATTTAGATTGATAGGAGACAGAGGATGAAATTTCAGTATTAGACGCTGGAGGAAAATGATGTGATAAACCCGAACTATCAGGATACGGTTAAAGAATATCCTGTCCGTGTACAACAGAACAAGGATCATCGGCGTTGGTAGGCTAAGTAACTAACCAATGCACTCTATGTTTGCGGATAAGATAAAGTTGATATTTCGTTGTCTATCTTTTTTCTGTTTAGCAACTCAAAATATATAAAAACCAAATTACTTAATTAAATATATCGTTTTACAGCAGGATTGCATAAAATTGTGACAGGTCTCTAATAGCGCTGCCAAGGCTTACAAAAACATATATTATCTTACAAAAAAAATCCAACATGTAAACAACAAATGAATATTAAGCATAATAAATACAGATTGCACCTTTTCAATTTTGAATTTTTTTTAAGGATTTCGGCTTTCAGCACACAAAAAAAACTAAATGTACATGGCTACAGACAGACCTTAAGCAGCAACACTAAAATATTCATATTTTCCCAAACTTTGGTGATTTAAACTGAATTTAAACAAAATAAAATTCACTATCATAATGGCGATTACATAATTTGTACATGTAAGTACTCACATTGGGTTATGTCTTCCTCGGTCTGTTTTTGTAACGTTACATTAACGTTTTGGCTAAGCAACAAAAAAACCAAAAAAACTAAGCTCCAGGAAAACAATCCCGTGACCCATGCTGCTTTTCTGACACGTTCTAAGCTTTTGTTTAACAAAATATATTTCTTATCAATTTTGCTTAAATTATGAACTGATGATTATTACTCTCTGAAGTCCAGTTTACTATCTTTCCGAAAGGCAAAGACTTCACTTTTGTTTCTATATGTTCTACAATTTTTGAATCTCTCTGCTTAAAGCAGTTAAAGCTGATGATGCCCCATATCAGGGTTTGACTTTAGCGGTAGCCCGCTAGCCAAATGCTAGTCAAAACAGCGGTGGGCTAGTCAAACTATTCCTCAAGTAGCCTGGCTGGCGGGTAAAAAATTATTGGGCCATGGCAAAGATGAAAGGACAGGAAGAAATCAATCATTAAATTCAGAAAGCAAACCTGTATCACTTTGTGGCTAATTTTATTACTGTTTAGGGTTAAATTAATAGATCTATTTATTAAAAACACTGACAAGATTGCCTCAGGATATACGTTTTACATGCATGCACATTGTTGTTTATGAGACACTCTAAAAAAGAAAAACATGCAGGCTAGTGAAAATGACCGTGGGTTAGTTGAAAATCTTTTTTCAGTAGCCCGGCTGGCTAGTGAAATATAAGTTAAGGTCAAACCCTGCACATTGCACTCAATATGGGAATTGGCTACATTGTTTTTTAACTTTGAGCCAAAAACAAAAACCTACAGCTTAAAGCAAACAGGATTTTGAGGATAAACAAAGCAAAAAAAGGCTTGGGTAGGAACGACTTGCCTAAAAGCAAATGTATGCACTGAGATATGAATGCAGGTGGTTTTTTTTTAGGCACCCTTGAATTTAATAATCTCAAAAAGAAATTCCCGGATTTCTAAGGATTTTCTCACATGACAGGAAAATGCACTCTTGCTTTCTTCATGCATCTGTCCTATTTTCATTGGTCCATCCTCCATTCATCCATTCCAATGTCCCGTTCCAGAGTTGCTCAAAACAAATACCTGTTGGACTTCTGGACCAGTGAAAGGACTGTTACCTTGGTGAGGTTATGGCGGTAAGGGTCAAGGTTCAAAGTCCAAGGTTCATCAGAGTAACCCAAAGCCTTCACCTCCCTCGTTGATGGCCAGCACCAGTGCCTTCTGGAGGTGCTCAATGCTGTCGTACGTTGGCAGGCAAAGCTGGTTAAAGCTGTGGAAATGATTCATTTGCAATTATAACCAGGTTTTTTTTTCTTGATCGGCTCCTTGAAAAAAATTCACTGCATGTTTCAAAAGCCCAAGAACAAATCCCAGCCAGACCAGCAAGCTGATTGGGTTTTCAGTCCATACCTGATTTCTAGGCTTTCCTGTGAATATTTGGAGATATTTCATCAACCTCTGAATCTGAATATTATCTTTGTTGTCTTCGCTCAGAAGATTTCTCTACACTAGCTAGCTGACAGTGCCAAGGGCTGATTGGGTTTTCAGCCCCTACCTGATTTCTTGGCTTTCCTGAGAATATCAGGTGATATTTCTCCAGCCTCTGCATCTGAATATTATCTTTGTTGTCTTCGCTCAAAAAATTTCTCTAGCAGGCTAGCTAGCTACAGTGACATGGGCACATTTGAGGAATCATTGCGAAACAAACATTGCTAATAATGCAACCAATGCTTACCTATAACCTGAACCCCTTTTCAAAAAGCAAATACAAAGCAAGCATAATTCAAAAATCTTCTAATTTTCTTTGTTCTGAAGGTGTCTCCAGGCTAGATAGCTACAGTGCCAAAAAATAAGATTTTTGGTAATAATTCGCTAGGTTACTTTCGGGATAAATGCAAAAGCTCCGGTTTCTGGTATGCGGGCACATCGCTGAAGCCATGCGCGTCGGCAAAATGGAAAAGTTTTTGTTTCAACGTAAGACGATGTCTCAAAACCGCCAAAACACACTGGTTTGACTAGAATCCTGCTGCTGCACAATTTTAACATGTTTTTGGATGGGGTTACGATCGAGTATAAGCTTTTTGCGGCCTTTCTGGGCTCCCATGTAATTTAAAATTGTCGAGCAACATTTGCTGACAGTGTTGTACAAAAAAAAAGTGGGAAAAAAAAAAGCTGCGTCACCGCACCACTTTTGGGGCAAGCTCCATACCAGAAACCGAAAACTTTAACTTTGTTTACTGCCCCAATGCGCCCTTCCTGGTACTCCTAATATCACCCCAAACTGCCCGAACTCTATGGTTTCACGGATACATCAAGGAGTAAAGCTACAATGTAGTACAATGAAAGACAACTGCTAAAGGGTTATAAACACACTTACTGGAGGGGTCATAATTTTGAATCTGATCGTCTTATGATAAAGTCATTGATATGGAATATGGGGAATGTTGTTAGCTACATTTTGATATCCGGTTTGCTACCAAAGACTGTAAATCATCCAACATTGTCAACGGTTCATGAAAAATAATGCAGTTTGAAAAGTTGCAATTTTAAAGAGTAGAATCGGGTCAACGCAGCCTGTGAAATTTTGTCCAATGAAATGATATACAAAATGGACGCGGAGCGCACAAAATCCGGAACAAACAAAATTAACGTACAAAATTCTACACGGTTGTCTCAAGGGGCGTGGCTAACTCGCAAACAGCGATAGGTCAAATGTAAACAATGCACGAAACGAACGGCAGGGAATATCGATTACACAGTGCTTGCATGCATGGGAACGCATGTATTGAATTACCTGCACTTTGTTCGGGCACTGTGCAGTCGATAGGGGCCCATTACGGATGTGTGTGGTAACGCTTAGTAATTTCTCCTCGCATAATCTTTCAATTTGTGACTTTACAAACTGCATAATTGTTTTACAAAGCATTGTCAATCTTGGAAGATTTACAGTCTTTGGTAGCAACGGGGTATCAAAATGTAGCTAACAAAATTACCAAAAGGTCTATAAAAAATGACGTCATCATAAGACAAAATAATATTCAAAATCATGTCCCCTACAGTGAGTGTGGACCTTCTTTTGTTGCGGTGTTTATTTCCCCAACTCTGATCGCAAATCCTTACGAGACCGCTGTCTGGGATAGACAAACGTGACTTACCATGTGTGTGCTGTGGGTAGCGTGCCGTGCGTCGGGGCAGCTATGACCTGAAACTTGGGGCTGAGTTCAGCGAACCCACCCGGGGGTAGCTGGGAGCAGCCGGTGGTGAACTGTAGCAGTCTAGCCATCTCCTCTTGGGTGAAGCTGGCCACGACGGTCCAAAACCAATCCAGCATCTGAAGAAAGCACAAATCAAGCAGGAAGACGGTCCAGTAAGAATTGATGCTCAGGACCCTGGCATTTTATTTAACAGGTAAATTTTGGTGGCTCTGTGTTTATTGGGACTCAAGCTACACATGTATATCTCCCCCCAAAATATCAACCAAAATCAACCTTGGGGAAATATGTGAATTAATGAAACAAAAGGGACGTGCAGTATTTACATGAAGGCATGTATTTCCGACGTCTAAGCTAAATCCTACCCTTTGAATGAATGGGCAAGGATCCTTGCAAGTTTTCAACTAAAGAAAATATAAACTGGCAAAGGTGCAAACATAGTGAAAATTATTTTCCAAATTTATTACGATTACCGGTAAAACATTTTAAAAACGGTCGTCCTTGTCATTGTCAGAATCGTTGTTCTCATCATCAACATGTCATATGGCTACTGCCTTCAAAATTTTCAGAAAGAGATGACCTAAACAGATAATGAAAAACTGATTCAAATTTTCCACCAAGTACCGTTTCATAGAGGCGAAATGGGGGAGGGGAATTGAGACACCCCCCCCCCCCCTGAAATTAGCATTTCCCTCTCCCCACTTGTGCTCCCGCACTCCCCAACCCAACCCCCTCAGAAATTGTTGACAAAATAAGCTTTGTATTGTTAAAACTCATTGAGGGCCCCTAATTAAAATGAGGCCACCCTAAGTCCCCCATGCGAAAACTCACAAATCCCCAAAAATGTATACAGAAAACCACCACTCCAAAGTGACATACTGCCTATCATCTATGTAGTGTGCATTAAAACCCAGTGCTGAGCTTAAGCCTCAATTGTACTTCAATGGGAAGGATGTGTTTGGTCATTTCTATAAATGTAAAGAGGTTATAAATCTAAAGTTTGTAGGATGTTGAAAATTGTATAACTGTGCCCGGTACTTTTTATTTTCCAGATGCTAAGATTGATGTTTTTAATTTCAATTTCTTCAGTAATCTCCCTGAACTGAGGAGGATACCCTCCGCCAACACATTTTTAGAAAAAAAATTCCAAAGCAGAAAAAAACTTGGGGTAAGGCCAAAAAAAAAAATATTCGGTCTCTGGTCAGACCAAAGTTCCGGAATTGACGCGGCCATGCGGCTTTTTTTTTTTTTTTTGGCTTTTTTTTTCTTCTTCAAGCTTGGATTGTACAGACAAGGTGGGTACTATTTTGCTTTTTTGGTGTCCTCATGTACATTGGTGTCCTCCATAATTTGCCTTGGTGCTTTCGATCATTTGCCTTGGTGCAATTTCCCATTCCTTGGTGCTCTTTGGTAAAAAAAATTGAGGAGGTGCGGAAATAGAGGGCGCTGTTGGAGCTACCGCGGAACATTTTGAAAAAAAAAAAAGATCGACGCGCATGATTAAAATCGACGCGCGCGCTGACCAGAGACCGACTTTGTGGCCTAAACCTCTGAGTAAATGGCCATGAAACTATTCAGACTAACCTTTTTTTACAGAAATATAAACACTTGAATATCAATTCGGTTAAATTAATAACAATTCGGTTACAATTTGATTAAACTAATTGCAATAACTGAGTCTCTGGTCAACTTGCTACGTGATTTTTACAGGTTTTGTGGAAGCTGGCATGCTCCCTTGCCCTTATTGGAATCTGACCAACTTAGGATTAACCTGTATTGGCTAAGCATTGTTCCAACTTGGGCATCTGTAATTGGGTCATAGGACATTTCGAGTGCAGAAATCAGCATTTTTAAGAGCTTAAAAATGATAATTCCCCCAAGGACAAAATTGGTGAATTTTATTGTGTGTGTTCATGGCAACCGAATAAAGAATTTTGAGAAAAAAATGTGGTTGTTAACTAAAATGTTAGGGTCGGGTACATTTCCTGTCAATTCTATTGCCAAAGAGGCGAGTAATAATGTAAGAAACAAAACAAGGCCAGCCTAAAGCTGTTCCCCGAGCACACAGACGTCTACTCAATTGATTCGCAATGGTTATTCGCTGGAAGTCTTTTCATGTGCCTGGTGTACGCAATGGGCCGAATTTTGCCCATTACGGGGTAATCCTATACACTGCTTGGCTCTCTTTTACAGCCAACAACCAGGCTAATCCACATGTGGCGGAAAGCCAGTGAGTCAGTCAGTGAGTCAGTCAGTCAGGTGTAGGGCTGTCCATATTCAAATAATTTAGTATTCGATTATTTGAAACTGCGTTTGACAGAATATTTGAAACCCGCTGATCAAGTTTACATGTGCCAGCTGCAACTGCATACTGCGCCCGTCAAGAGTTGCACATAAAGCGTGCAGGTTAAAATGTGCTCAAATTTGTATCCTTGTGGAGACATGCACACAATAGGGAACAAAACATTGTAAAGTCTCCACAGGGCAATTTCTATAGATGAATAGGTCTCCACGAGGTTTTCACGAAATAGATATATGGATTTTACTCAAAAACTAGGAATTTCCAAGGTGGGTCGATCCGTCGCAAATGGAAGAGTTTTAGAAAAGGGATATTAAGTCCGAATTTCAGCCAAGGAAATTAATTTTGGTTAAAATAAGAGCATTTTGAAACTTCACTTTCAAAATCGAAAACTTTACTACACGAGAACAAAGAAATGTCTCCACAAGGATACAAATTCGAGAGTGGGTGTGCGTGCAACGATCGCTGTTATAAGCCGCTGTAGTGTGTTGCAGTTAAACTGTCAAGGGCTTTAACATGCTAAAAAGAGGAGGCGCAATGAACCGCCATCGACAAAAAAGTTACTGTCGACAAAAAGTGCCACCTGACAATAATAAAGCGTCACACCTTTGCGTTTTTTTTCTTTTGAATATTTGAACCGGTAATGAGCTATTTGAATATTCGATTGATGACTGAACATTCAACTATTCGGTATATTCCGAACAGCCCTAGTCAAGTGCAAAGAGGCCTTAGCCTGGCCACCTCTAGGACGAAAATAAAAATAAGAGGTCATCTCCACAAATGCAACACAGACGACGATCTCATGGACGACGGAACTAACAGATGAGTTACAAATTAGCATTATAACAGATGGCTTCGGTGCTCTCTTTCGTGACAAGAAATATAAGAAATGGTCTCAAATGTCATAGGCTGCTACCAGTAATAAGGCAAAAGTCTCCGGTTGCTGGGATGGAGCTTGCCCCAAAAGTGGTGCAGCGATGCAGCATCTAAAAACAGGTTAAAATTGAGCAGCAGCAGGATTCCTGTACCACCAGTGACAGTTTGGCAGTTTTGAGACATCATCTTACATTGAATTTTTTTAAAATAAATTTGCTGACGCGCATGGCTACGGCAACGCGCGCAGACAAGAAACCGGAGACATTTTTTTTGGCCTTAGGGATGTGTTTCGGCTCACTATACTCAAAGTTGGTCACCTGGGTTAACCCCTCACCTTGGCCTGAAGTGATATAATGTTTCTGCCCGTTAGTCATTAGTGTTTGTGATGCACCATATTGCTTAACCCTAACACTCTATCCTCAGTCCTCCAAAATCCTCCAGGCACATTTGGAGGATTTTGGAGGATTTTGGAGGATTGAAGCTGAACTGTCAGTTGATTTCTGAGGATGTATTGTATGTCGAGTTTGTAGGCTGTACCCAGCATTTATTTAACCTAAGGTTCGTCCAAAGTCTAGCAAGGCATAGGGTGATCGTGCTTTTGCCATCTGTGCACCTACTCTATGGAAATGACTTCCAGCTTGTTTGAGAAACATTAATGAATTGGGAATTTTTAAATCACAGCTTAAGACATTTCTTTTTAAAAGGTATTATTTTTAACTACTACTTTCAACTAACTGGTTTACTTTTTATGTTGTTTTGATATTTCGTAAAGCCTTTTGAGATTTTTATGTAAAACGCTATATTAAGAATAAATTATTATTATTATTACAGGTATGTTCTGTCATTGTTGGAGGATAGGATTGAGGCAATGGTCACCCCTCCACTGAACAAATTCAAGAAATAACGGACGATGTTGGAGGATTGAGGCTGATTCTAATTTTTACATGGTGGCAATCAGAGGATTTTGCAGGATTGAGGATAGTTCCAAGCCAAAAGGTCCTAGGGGGTGAGGGTTAATGAGTCTTGATGAGTAATGAGTAGTGGTGAGTTTTGGCTCACTATACGCAAAGTCGCTCACCAGGGTAAACTGTTCCCCTTGGCCTGATGGGATGTAATATTACTGCACGTCAGTTAGTCATTAGTGTAAGTTGGGTACCACATTGCTTACTAAGTCTTGAGTAGGGGTGAGTTTTGATACATAACACTCAAAGTCACTCACCTGAGTAAACTGTTCCCCTTGGCCTAATGGGATGTAATATTACTGCACGTCAGTTAGTCATTAGTGTAAGTTGGGTACCACGCTCCTAACCAAGTCTTGAGTAGGGACGAGTTTTGATTCATTACACTCAATGTCACTCACCTGAGTAAACTGTTCCCCTTGGCCTGATGGGATGTAATGTCTCTGCATGTCAGTGACGCTGAAAGCGCAGGTACCACACATCAGTAACTCCAGCTCATTCTCATCAAACATGCTCAGTAGCTGGTCAGGAATCAGATCGTTAAGACCTAGGTGTTAAAGGGAAAATACAACATTTGCAAACATCAAAAAATAAAACTACCAAATCATTTTGAAATACCTTGCTGGACTGTTAGTGAATTACAGTGTAAAGCATCCTGTAAAATCATGGCACCTGGTATACTGTCATTTTCAAGAAAAGTGCTATTTTTGTACCAATTTCCAACGCTGATCGGCCGATCAGCGTTGGAAAAAACTGGCTTTTTTTCAAATACTGGCCCCAATTGACCATCGCACTTGTTTGCAATCGATTACACACACTATGAACAGGTACAAGCCAGCTAGACTGGTTCCCTGACCTTACAATTCCCCAATGTATGTAAACTGCTCTGTTTCTTCTTCAATGGAGTCAGGGAACCAGACTACAGGAAAATGATTGTTTTTCTTGGTTTTTATAGCATTTTCGAACCCAAAACCTCAAAAAAGTCAGTGCAACTATATTTGCTATATATTTCCAACCCCCCAATTCCATCCACTTCTGAAAATTACAGCAAAAGCAAATGATGTATATTCCCTTTAATGGATAAAATACATCCAATTAAGCCTTCTGCTGTCTGAACAGTCACAGACAGGCAAAAAAAATATATCATCTTCCCCTGCCGTGATTTTAACACAGGCTGGTCACCAACAGTCAGATCCTATTTCAAGCAAGCACGGTGACTAGTCAAATTCAATCAGACAAAAGCAGACAAATGGTATGTACAGCTGGTTTATCAATCACCTAGGAAAGATTTCCATATACGAAGTTCACTCAACACCCTGTGTACAAACCCTATGAGATTGGACTGAAAAATTGTAAGTGTTTTCTAAGAAAATGCTTGTATTTTCTCACTGCTCAAATTGATTTTGATGACATGAAATTGCTATCTGTGGGCTTGTTAGTCAATACAGAGGAAAATTAGTGAACTTCGTATATGGAAATCTTTCCATCACCTACAGTCCAAGCATAGCTGCATCAAGTTACATAAACAGTAACAGCCAGTCAATCCTGCTTTATGTAGCCTGGGAGCTCTTAACTGTTTACCCTCCTACTATTTAAGTGGTCACCGACAGTCAAAATTCACTTCCACCACCCCTGCTATACTTTTAACACCGGCTAGTCACCAGCAGTCAGATCATATTTCAAGCAAGCACTGTGTCTAGTCAAATTGGGTCAACAGACAAAGCAGGCAAGTTGTGGTCACAGCTGTTTTATCACTAACCCCAAGTCAAAGCATGGCTGTATCAAGTTACTTAAGCAGTCCAAGGCAGTCAATCCTGCTTTATGTGGGCTGGGAATTCTTAAGGGTTAAAAACAGTCACTTGATTGATTTTGACTGCAAGGACAACTTGGCACAGAATGTACATGTATGTTTGCATAGGAGGGTTAAAACAGTCACTTGATTGATTCTGACGGAAAGAACAACTTTGCACAGAGTGTATATTTGCATATGATTGTTCAATGTTCATACCCAGTGACAAGAAAAAATTGCAGGCTTGTGTATTGCAACATTCACTCCCCAGACCTTATCTCTATGGGCTCCGTGCGCCGACAAAAGAGGGCGCCCTTTTACCTAGCAACAACGTCCCATGGGCGGGACATTTCGCTGGTTGACGCGCACCGTTCCTTGTGTGTGACACACGTACACCAGGGGATTTGTACTATGCACACGCAGCGCGGCAATGAATTGCAGTCAGGCAAGATGGCGTCAGTCGGTCACCCCCAACTGTACTTGCTTTGCCGGTGAGGGGTACATGTGAACGGAGCGGATTCTAGTTCTAACTCTCTCCACCTCACTTTCCACCCACAACAAAGCTGGCGACCAGATTTCATTCAAAATAACTGCTAAGTTTTACAACTCTCATTGAAAACATAAATTTAATTGCCATGTATGCCCGACCTTTGAGAAACGCTTCTATTTCATCTTGTACGCTGTTCGCCAGCCGATGGTGTGCCAGTTTGTCCAAATACTCAATCTTGTTGTCATTGGTTACGGGGATACTGGCCCCACCTGGAATCAAATCCACCTCCTGAAAGAAAAAAAGAAAAAGAAACGAACTTCACAAAACTCTGTACAAAATTTTTACCCAATTTTTTTTTACGAAGCTCACAGAATTTCACAGATGAAAGGATACTTTCTTCGTGAAATTGGTTCCAAGGTCGTCCTCTTTAAAACAAATATCACTGAAGTGAATTCTTTAAAGGTACAGTCCATTGTTTGCAGCTATCCAAAAAGTAACTGACGTAATTATTGTTGAAAAGCATACTTGGTTTAAAGATAGTAATGGGACTAAACTCTCTTTGAAAATATTCTTTCTGGCAAGCTGTCATTTTGAAGAAATCAATGAAAGAAGGCCTGTCCAACGATTTGGAAATTTTTGTTTATAGTAGTTCGTTTTGTTTATTTGGAGAAGTGCGCCCAATTCGTCGATTCACTGCGCCACAACGCCATGCTGCAATTGACTCAGTGAGAACGTGTCTCGAACGCTGAATTCAAAACATGACTCAGCAAATTCTGATTTGAAATCGAGTTCCTAGAATGTTTTCTCGGAATATACAGTATTCACTGAGCTGAAACTTCATCAGGTTAGTTGTTCAGCATGTTCAGCACCCTTCTTTAGATTTTGAGCACTTTTGTTGCTTCAAACGAACATAACGCACAAATTACAAACGATGGACGCTGCTTTTAAACTTGGGGTAAGAAAGACAATTGTATTTTGTCTGAAACATGCTACCATACTGAACGTTTTGATGCAAGTACAAACTTTGGAGTTTATAACGGCAATCCAACAAAGACATATGGCATTTTCCAAGCATGAAAATGAACACAGAAGGCTAGTTAAAGCATCGTGTGGTAGAGTATTTAGACATGGTATACCTTTCATTTGTTTTAATCGTTTTTGCAAACAGAAATGTGAGAACAATTTGTTGAAGCAGTGGCATTATTTTCAGATGAAGGTCGATCAACCAACACGCTAATTTTTTTAACATTTGTACTTTACGGACTCTATGCATGGATGGGTAATTCTAAAGGATTAGGAGGTTTAGTATTAATATTACCTTAGCAATTATTTATCATTCATAAATACGTAAGACAGTTTACCCATTCATTTTGGTCGAGAGCCCGTCACGTGGCCGGTTTTTAAAGACCGGCTGCCTCGTCTTGAACACTTTTCCAGTGTCACATAAAATTTTGATGCCTTTGAAATCCGGTGCCTTTTAGTTACCGTTTTATTGGTTGAACGTTCACAATGCACACGTTGGCATGCGCAATACTACCAGTGAGTCAATGTTTCATAGTCCTAAATTCACACTACACCGGCACAGCTGCGTTCTGCGCCACATTGCGCATTACGCGTTACGCGTGTGCCAATCTCCATGTATACAAGGAGTTGTTTACGACATGGACAAATCCATAATATAGCTACAGGGGTGTTTCAAAAAACATGAAGTAAAATTGTAGAAAGAAAAAAAAGTTGGAAATATATAATTTTTGACTTGTTTTGCCTTTTGGAAGAAAAGTTTTAATTTTTTGACCGAAAGGTATTTATGAATGGGAATAAATATGTGCTTGGACGGTATTAAACACTCTGTTTACGACCGGTTGGGAGTCTGGATGCTGATAATTACCCTTGCCTTCGGCTCGGGTAATTATCATCATTCTAGACTCGAACCGGTCTTAAACAACCATTTGGGAGTCTGGATGCTGATAATTACCCTTGCCTTCGGCTCGAGTAATTATCAGCATCCAGACTCCAACCGGTCTTAAACAGAGTGTTTAAACCGGCCAAGCACACATTCATTCCCTTATTATAGACCTTATGCGTTGCAGGTATCTCAGAGGCTGTTCTTTGGTATTTTAATTTAGGTATAATATATGCACAAAATGTTTACTCATACCAGTCAAAGCTACACAAAACTATTGCCCGCATAAGGTCTATATGTTTTTCATTAGGGCCAAAACAAAACCATTTGTTTGCAGTTACCCGACCGACCCTAATTTTATGGTTCGTTGCCCACTACACAGTGTAGTCACGCACACCGATACTGCGCGATACATGGCTAGTATTGGCCAGCGTGACTAGCGTTGGGCATAATGGTGTGCATGACTTAAATTCTCCGTTATTTTTAAGAATCATCGACCTTAAATATATATTTACATTAATCCAAGCAAGGCTTTTATCAATTTTGAGGGTCAGTTTTGATAGTTTTCGTGGTACAAATGAAAATAATTCAGTCCCAAAATACACATATTAAGTTATGATTGAACCCCCATTCAATCAGCACAAAAACAAAAATATAAAAAGATTTTCCTACCACCGACCATATTTTTGAAATGCATGTAACTGGAAGCAGAACTATTTTTTTGTGTAGACCTTATCCTACCTGAGCAAGTTGGCCAGCTTTGCTGTATACCTCTTCGGAGAATGTCAGATCCATATCGTTGACATCATTGTCCAATATGAAGCGCACTTTGGTGGTGTAAAAATCAGGGTCATCTGTCTCAAAATACTGACAGAAAGACAGCCAACATTAAAATTTGAAATTTCTCAACCCCCCCCCCCCAAATCCACACATACAACCTATCTGGAATACAAACAGTCAATGGTATAATGATGACTGTTGAATGATGGGGAATGTCACATGACATTTGTTACATATATGGCACTCTCAGTTTAAACTTTGCTGCCAGGCAACATTGGGGGATATATAAAATGCATATCTTTCATCACAACAGTTTTTCAAAGCACAATTTATTTGGAAATCCCTTTTCAAAGTTCACACTAATTGCCAATGTGAATTATTCATAACAAGCATTCGCGCTGCAAATTTGAAAAGCTTGAACAAACACATTTTAACTCCAACAAATTTGGAAGTGAAATGTTTTGCAACAAGATTCTCTTCTCATTCGCATCAAATTTTACTCAATAAGCCAATACGTCGGCTAAAAATGGCCAACTTGAGACAACAAGCAAATACATCGGCCTGGATGGTCGTATAACGTCTGATTTTAACTCCTTGTAATTACTGCCATTAACCCTTACTCTCTGAGGGTAGTTTACTGCATGTCAGTTGGTTATGCCAATGCCCTCCAGCTGCAGTTATTTGGCAGATAACAAGTCTTGACAGTGAAGGCTCCAATTGGCAGGAGTTGGAGGCCCTGGAGGGTGCCTGATACTGACCAGCTGGGGGCACTCACTTTGTTATCAGAGGACTCTCATTGTTCTCTGTGGCATGTATTGGAATGCCTGTCCAGTTACCCTTGAAATGATATGGCAGATATTGGAGGGCCATGCAAAAAACATAGGAGAATTTCTTGAGGCACAATTGGCATGCGTTGGAGGGTCTAGTAGGGTAAGGGTTAATAGCATACTAAAACAGTTCAGTTTGAATCAATATTCACTCGTTTATTTTGTTTGACCACAGCGGGTACACTTACCTTATGGGACACCCTGAGTCCAATTAACTGAGCGAGAAATGACCGTGAGAACCTGGCCTTAACGAGTTGCCTGGTGGCGCTGCCAAGCGACGACTCGTACAGGCACTTGCCAACCATCTTGCCCGCAAACTCATAGAATTTAGCCTTGCACAAGTGAGGTGGTCTGTCTGGATTAGGGTGAACCTGATGAGTGAAAGGAAACATAAAAAACAGGAACTTGGCTAAAGACTCCGTGCACAGGTATTGTTGATGTTTCCAAACGTAATGCAGCCCACAACGTGACGCCCCTTTAGTTTTTGCCTCTTTTGCCTTGCTTGAATAAACACTTGAACAAACGTCAAATTTCATATGAAGTGTTATTTCATCAAGCTCATACATTCTTGTTCACAAACTTTGAGTTTGCCTACGCGTTACAAACTTAAGAGAGATATTTTAATATGATGTCATTTTCGGGTTTTCTTTTGAAGTACACAATGAACCCTTTAAAATTGCATCCAAGTATAAGAAGGTGATTTTCTGACAAATCTGTATTTGGATATGGCAGTGGAGATTCTAACGATTATCAGCATATATCAACTTTAAAGAAATTATTAAATGTTCACTTTGGAATTTCTGAGATTTGTTGAAGTGAAGCATGTTAGGGACCTCTCAGCCAATTTTGTGCCAAATTTCTGGACGCCACAGTTTTTGAATTTTGTGACACTAGGGTTGTTCACAAGAGTTCAATAGGACGCATAATTAAGATTCAAGTACCAGGTTTTAACTGAATGAATTTGAAAATTGTTAACAAAGAGTTTTGGCAACACTGCAAGAGGAAAGTCGGGGAAACATTGAAGTCCTCATCAGGGAACTCCACTATCCCGCCTATGGAAACATACACTCTGTGCCAAGTTGTCAGTTCAGTCAAAGTCAATCAAGTGATAGTCCATCATTTGCAGCCATTCGAAAAAGTAACCGGCGTATTATTGTTGAAAAACATACTTGGTTGAAAGATAGTAAGTGGACTAAACTCCCTGTGAAATTATTCTTTCTGGCAAGCTGTCATTTTGAAGTAATCAACGAAAGAAGGCCTTTCCAACGGTGTAGGAAAATTTAAATTAGTAGTTCGTTTTGTTATTCGGCACAGCGCGTGCAAGCATTGGCACGACGCACAGGCGCCCCCGGTTGCTATAATTCGTCGGATCAGTGCGCGACATCGCGTATAGCTGCAATTCAAAACAATTCAAAACATGGTTCAGCAACTTTTGATTTGAAATTGAGATCCTATAATGCTGTTTTCTCGGAATATACAGCTGAAGCTGAGCTGAAACTTCATCAGGTTAGTTGTTGATTTTGAGCACTTGTGTTGCTTCAAACGGACAAAATGCACAAATTGCAAATGATGGACTATATCTTTATACACATTGCTGCCGTATGCCCGCCGCTCACGTGAAGATACAGGTCTATGCACATTAAGACTAAAATTAGTCGTGTGTGCTTCTTGCTATGCACACGAACCAATGTGTACATGCACTACATACACCCGAAGGACAGACAAAGGAAGAACAACAGATTCTTTGTTGTCCTCGAGCGTTCCTCTGTTGTCAAAAACGGTCCTCGATCTTGAGTGTGTGTGCTTAGTCTATGGAAGGGTTTTATATTGAATGGACAAAGGGAAACACAAAGCATTGTCCTCGCGATTATAGTGTGTCCTGCAAAGGAGACATTTTGAGTGGTGACGATGCACCATCTACTGTTCGTGCATGGCGTCCATAATATCCCTCACCAATTTTTCCCAAGTTTTAGACAATATTTGAATGATGAAAATCAGCCGTAAATTTGTTTCTGTCTTCGTGAAAATACAAAAATGGAATCTTTCCATAACAAAGTTATCAATGTGTAAACAATGCTGATAACTTCATTATGGGAAGATTCTGGGGAAGTTGCTCAAAATCCTGCAGCTAATATCCGAAACAATAGGTCTAATGCGGATAAACTTGTTGCAACACTTAACCTAGATATTTAATGAGATGACCATAGTGTTTTTATCATTCAAATATTCCCTGTGTGCTAGAGACACTCACCAGCCCTTGGTTGTTGTCCCGAAACCTCCTGAAGAACTTATTCTCCGGGGAAAAGAGCGCCGTACAGACCAACTCCGTCCACTCTCTGCCCAGACCACCCCAATCTTGACCTGAACAAAGTCAAAACGTTCCTCGGTTTTTATTAATCACTTAGGCACATGAACAGATGACTGGACCGATGAACCAACCCTTCCAACTCTCAAAAAGTTAAATCACTCAGATTTGTAATTTTTACCATTGTTTCAACTATAGACATGAAGGCAAGAATATTAATCCCCAACAGATGGAAATGTGTATTTTGGGCTGAAAATTAGTATTGCTAGTACATCCTCTTCCTCTTCTTACAAAAGATAGAAAACATATTACAGAATATAGCAAAATGAGGCGACGCCTCGACTGCTGTTGCTGGGAGGTGGCTTCTCCCCCTGTCGCCCCCGCTTCGCGGGTGAGTCGCCCGCTTCGTGGGCGATTAGCAGCTTCGCGGGACGTAGCGAACAACTTGTGAACACACACATAATACACCCTTTGCGCTTTATAGTAATGCGCCAATACACAATATAGGTTAGAAATGTATTAACCCTAATCCTCCAGGGTATGTTTGCTAGAACCCTGCCAAACGTAGCAACATGCAATACTTGACTAAGTGACAAGCCTGCCAAATGTAGCAAGATCCATCAGGGGAAAAGTCTCAAGGCCACACTGCCTCAGAGTCTGTGGTCACTGCAGGCAGCAGGATACAATTGTTGCATTGTTCAATGGGATTAGCTCTCATTGTTTCAGAGCTGGCCATTCATGCACTGGTGTTGGTAGCTGAATGCATCAAAGTGCACCAGTTCTTTTCCACCTGATGCACTGTGTTGCATCTGGCAGGGTTAGTTAATGAATATAGAAAAATAAAATAAAGAATTTGTGTGCGTGTATCATGTTAGAAAAACCAGCCAAGGGTACTTAGGCCATCAGCCTCAGTCCAAAATTTTGGCCACCAGTATCAAATGAGGGGAATAATCGTCATAGCAATTTTTGGCAAGGTAGACACCTCCAGAGTTGGGAAATATGTGATCGCATAGCAGCGGTGGCAGCTTTTTGGGTGTTAATTATCACCTTTTTTTCAAAATGTCCATCAAAATGCTTGTTACCACTCTAGGGGCAGTATACCTTACGCATGCGCACTATAATCATTTATGCCCTGATTTGATACTGACCAAATCCCAGGCTGATGGCCTAACTAGTGGACAACTTCCTTTGAGCACGACTTACGTTATGCCGACTCGCAATCCTACTGAAAAGAACAGACAACAGACAAAATTATGTTGTTTTTTTAATTTCCTCTTCTTACCCTCTTCTCCTAAGAAGTTGATCTCAAATTTCTTGCACCAATCGGATGTTGAATATGGCTTCGTTGCTTTCATAGACTGAGGATGACAAAATGAAAAGTACACTCTTAGTGATCTTACTTCAATCAAAGTACCCATACTCACATTTCTTTTTCGATTGTTGGCTTCTTCTCGATGGAGTGTGTACACCAGAAAGTTCTATTAATTTTGCATTAAATTAATTTAATTAAAAATATCTGTACATGTTTATACATGTAACACTGCCTTTGAAATCTCGAGGGGTTTCTGTGTCCTCGTGCAAAGTGCAATGTACTTTGGGACAAAACCACAAAGAGGATTTTGGAGGGTTGAGATGGGTTTGGGTTAAGCATGCTGACAGTCAGTCATTGTGTTCTTGATATCAGAAGGTGGAGGTGGGGGGGGGGGGGGGGGGGGGGGAGAGGAGACAGAATCCCCTTCCCGTGGTTGTCAGAATCCCCCTGGTTTCAGAATCCACCTACCCTGATTGACAGATGGCCCCCAAAAACAACGTTCTCTTGGTGTTACATTAACACTTACGCTCTCAAGGAGACTGTGCCTGTCAATGTTCAAGTTGAGGACTGAATGATACTTCCGCGGTCTAAGATTGACCACCTCCCGATGGAAACATCTCTGCTTGTCCTGAAATGTCTCTGACCCTCCTTATTATTGATAAAAATGTAAAACAAAATTACAAGTCAGCATTGTGGAGCGCTGTGGTCCAATGGTGTTCTCACTCACTTGCCGCAGTACGTGGGTTCGAACCCGGACGGGGAGCATGGTGCTTGTGTTCTTGGGCAAGACACTTTACTACAATCGCCTCTCTCCACCCAGGAGTATAAATGGGTACCTGTGAAGGTAGAGACCAGATTGCGCTGATCTTGAGCTGCTGCAGAAACTGGTCTCATGGCCTGATGAACAGGGGTAATAATTGTACCTTTATACCTTGGTATAAAGCGCTATATAGGCACTATATTTTATTATTATGACTACAAAAACTATGACATACGATTCAGTCATGGTTAGAAATGCTGACACGTAGTCACCAAAATAATTTTGAACAACTACCCAACTATAGTTCATCAGATGACAAAAGGTTAAGGAATAATGCTTTCCCTATTTTGATGCCGCCGAGTACTTTTTCATTATTTTTCTGAAATCATGAAGTTAATTTTTTTTCTAGAGCAGGTAATGTTACAAATACATGTGTCATGTTTCACTCTGATTTATCGTAAATATTTTGGCACATTTGCAATTGGCAATGCTTTTGGAATTTCGATATGTACATGTACCGGTACATGTATACGATGCTCATGAATTTTATGTCGGTGACAAAACCTATTTATTAGCAAATAACATTATTTAAGTTTGCCTAAACCTTATTGTCATGTCTTATTGAAGTGGCTCTTTTACAGTTGACTGGCTTACCGATATTTGTGAGCAGGAATTTGGTGAAGGTAGCGGCCATGATGTCCCTGTGCTTGGACGCGAGCTGCATGGGCGGTTGACAGCCGTCCTCAATGCTAAATGCAGGCACGTCTTGCTCTGAGTGGTCCGCGGTAAAATTGAACTGCAAATGAAATTGTGAGCCTTTACTGCATGCTTGAATCGCAACTGTATGGGCTCCGTACACATGGACCCCCTTAACGGCAAGAAAGGAGGAGTCGGGGGAGACCACTTGGAGAGACTTCGAAGGCATTGCTGACGAGGCCTGATGCTCACACAAAGACACTATGGCTTTGTGAATATTCAGAATAAAATTGGTCATGCGTATTTTACATTATAGGCGCGCGAACCAGTATGTGCACGTGGTGTGTCCCATCCACTGTGCTCTTAAATGTGGTCAACAAGCACCCTCTATAGTCTGTGCACAGAGCCCATTAGGCCATTTTTTTCAAACACATTTTATTCAGATCATCCCAAGCTATTGCCTTCTGTTCTAGCAACTTGTATATCACAGGGATGTATTGCAAGCTTTTCATTTTTGACTTCACATTGATGAAGATGGTAAAACTGTCAAAACAAATTTAGAAGCACAATCTATTTTGAGCCTTTAAATGCAGACTGTCAAATTCTTTCACAAAAATAGAATGTACTCACAGTAAAAAAATACGACACAGCACACCTTTTGTATTTTTCAGCAAAATGTTCTGGAGCTTAGGAATTGGGTGTAGTTAATTTGAAGACAATATCAAGGTTTCATGTTAGGGGAGTTTAGTTATAATTATTATTTCATGCAGATGTGTGCTAGTCCATTATTACATGGAGTATATTAATGGGAGATTCTTTAAGAAGTGTGGAAGGGCTGTGCCGAGTATACCAAATATTCGAATATTCAATCATCAACCGAAGAGCATTTTATAAAATCAAATATTCGAAAAATGTGAGCGGTCTTCAGGAGATGTGTGGTTTCATTGTTTGTCAGATGCCACACTTTTGTTGAAAGGGTATGATGTGAGAGCTCCCACAAGTAATATTAGCTCAAATTTCCTTTTTAAAATCGGTCAAATATCTGCCATTCCACTACCTGTTCTTTATGATGTCTTAATTAGCTCTTTGTCCATTTTTGACAAGCGCAGGCGCACACAAATCCCGTTTGGCGGCCAGTTTAGGCTGATGCATGTTTAACTTGATAAGTTCAATTCAAAATTGAATATTCAAACAATAGATTATTCAAAACTGTTTTGCCCTAAAGTTAATAATGGACTAGCACACATCTATTTCGTGAAAGTCTTGTGGAGACGTATTCATCTATAGAAATTGTCCTGTGGAGACGTATACAATCTTTTGTTCCCTGTTGTACACACGTCTCCAGAGGGCACGGTGTATCAGATCACGCATACAGACATACACACAGAAGGAATACGCTATCGCAATATCCCCCTCCCGGCTTACAGTCAGGGGGATGAAAAAGGGACCAAAATACCCCTGGAAATGGCAAACTGAAAATTGATAATCAGGTTAAATAGGACGCAGAGGTGCTTTTTCAAGGATTGCATTAAATAAATTACATTGCATAGGCTCTTTAACCTTTCATGTTTCATCATGTTCATAGAGGATTTTGAAGGATATGGAACGCAGAACATGGGGCCTAACAATTCAATTCTTGATTACATCACAAAATTTGTCTAACTCACTTTAGTAGCTGGACAGACCCTGAACGTCTGCAGCCTCTTGGGAATAATGCGGAGGTAGAACTCTTTGACAGTCAGCTGTTTCGGTGAGATGTAACAATAAACCTTCTTTGGTCGTCGTTGTTTGGAGTGGTTGTGGGACAGAAGCGTTGCCTCGTAGCCTTCCGTGCTCTTCTTGTCCAGATTTTTCTTGACTTTTTCAAAGTCATTTTCTGTTGCGACAAAAGGATTTACATATGGTTGATTTTGGGGAGTGGTGCAAATGTAGAAAGATGCACTGTGAGTCCAAAGTTAGAGTTAACTACATAATGGTATCAAGTGTTCTTACCCAAAACTGGGTTTGAAAAAAAAAAAATTTGACACTCAAATCAGGGAGTCCAGAAGATGGTAACTAAGCCTTTTACATGAATGAATGAAGAAGACTTGTAACGCATCGGTATCCACCATCGGTATCCACCACAGATGGGCGCTGATGGCGCTTTCCATAAAATGTCCAACCCTGACCAGCAATTATGCAGCGCATTATAAAGTCAGAAATAAGTTCACAATTATGTTGACATTGCCTTTGAGAACAAATAGGTCTTCTGAGCCTGCATCTGCAAGCTACTGTGCAAACTCAATCTAGTGGATATCCAGCACAGGGTGCTGACTCAGAGCAAGGCAACAAGCATTTTAAAACAAACAAGAGAACAACAAAAAATCCAAATCCAAAAACCAAAAAAATCCCAAAAGACCCAAAAATCCGTAATCCAAGTATTTAAAAAAAGGCCTACAATAAATTCAAGTGAAATGCACTCACCAGATAGCACAAGAATATTAAACTCTCCGTTGCTTAACTTTTCCGTTCTATATGTAGCCAAGGCCTTGTAGCAGCCAGTGGATTCCATCCGTACACGGAGAGCCAGCTGCCTACTGTCTTGGCTTGGCTTGACCTCATAATGTGGCCTGACACTGTCAAACCTATCACTGCCAATCTGCGTTTAGTAAAATCAATAAAAAAAATTACTCAAGGTAGGTTCACCATTTTGTCGCAAATGGTATCGGCACAGGTGTTGCCAAACCAAGGTGTACATTATGACAAAAGAAAACCCCAAGATGTTTTAAAGGTGGATGGAACTGAACACCTTTAGTGCGAAAGTCTGCTCGGGCGTTGCGCACTCACTGACCATTTCCCATTTTCGTCCTAACAACTTTCGTAATGTCAGTTCATTCTATCGTTGTGCATGTGGCTGTTGAAATTGATTTTGTCTGAGCAATTTCATTCTGTTAGTGGTGGCCTATTTTGCCCAAGGAGCAAAATCTGGCCGACCAAAAAAAAGATGATTTTTCCGACAGAAAAATGTCAAATGGAGTTGGGGGGAGGAGGGGGCTGGGTCACATTCCTCTCCCCAAATCCCCTCCAGCAATGCCCATGTTTATCTCCAGTGTTGTAGTCGAGTCCTTCACAAGTCTTCACAAGTCCTCACAAGTCTTTACAAGTCTTTACAAGTCCATCACAAGTCTTCACAAGTCCATCACAAGTCCTTACAAGTCCCCACAAGTCAATCACAAGTCCATCACAAGTCTTCACAAGTCTTCACAAGTCAATCACAAGTCAATCACAAGTCAATCACAAGTCCCCACAAGTCAATCACAAGTCCATCACAAGTCTTCACAAGTCTTCACAAGTCCCCACAAGTCAATCACAAGTCCATCACAAGTCCATCACAAGTCAATCACAAGTCCATCACAAGTCTTCACAAGTCTTCACAAGTCAATCACAAGTCAATCACAAGTCCGCACAAGTCCTCACAAGTCTCCACAAGTTCTCACAAGTCAATCACACATTACGCACAAGTCCCCCCGTCTCAGGTCAAGTTGTAAGCTATTCAAATGAACAACAACAAAGGCATTCATCTGATACCAGTTCTATGTACATGTACTTCTTACTGGACTTGTGAAGCGACTAGTGATTTACCCGTGACCTGACTTGTGATGGACTCAACTTCAACACTCATCACATACCTCTGTGACCTGTAGGCAGTAGTCATCATTATAGGTCCTGTTGCCCCTGTCTGCATCCAGATGAGTGAAGCAGGGATTCCCAAACCTGTCCCGAGGCTCAATTAACAGCGGACACATCTTACCCCTAGTCACCACCATGGTGGAACTGTGCCGCACAAAGGCTGATTTTGAGGGATCCACTGGACCTGTGGGTAATACACAACGAGACAACGGAGGATTTCAATAAATAACACAGGCTAATAAATTGGGAATCTGTGACGGTACAACGCCGCAAGTTCACTGCACACCTGATACGCCTATCGAACCAGCGCCACACCAAACAGCTATATTCAAGGCCAATTCCTACAAACAGCCTGGAAACCGCATTGGAACGCTTCTAGAGTAAGCTGTGGCATCATCATCCGACCTCAACCGAGACGAGTTTATAAAGGCGGCGGGGAAACATGAATTTTGAGAATTTTTGTGGCTCAGAAGCAAGCCTCCCTTCAATAACTACACAGCCTGTGGTTGGAGCAAAACAAATTAATTGATTGATTGATTGATGTAAGTTTGCCGGTTCACCTTGGACAATGAAGAGAGCCAGTAGTGAGAACAACAGCTCTCTTCAGAGCCAACACTTTGTCACAAATAAAAAAGAAGGGGAAAAAAAGAAAGAGATTTGTCCATGCTGTTCCCGTAAACCTACAGACCAATCCAAAATGCAAAGCTTCAAACAACACTCAGGCTAATGAACTCATAAGAGCATTGAAATCCAACTATGTAATAACATGGCAGCAAACCCAGTGGAGGAATTCGATGGATCCAGGCAGGGACCGCCAGCAACAAACAGGGATGATTTTGAAGGATTTGGGTGCTTAAAGAGATTTTACCTTCGTGCCATTGGAGGATATTGAAGGAGTCAGGCTAGTTCTGGGCAAAAGAGTTTAGGGAGTTAGGGTTATTGAAAGAATTCTGTGGGAGGGATTGACCACAGATTTGTATCAACGATTGATAATTAATGAAGATAATGCACGATGTGTGACAAAACAAATAAAACATGGTTTCTTTTTGGAAAGTATTGACTGAATATCTCAGTATTGGCTGATGTTACTTCTTGCTGATATGCAAACCAAATCAGCCAAAACTTTAGGACCAGTAATTTCAGATCACTTCCCCCTCAAACCATATCGTATTTATTTTCTTCAAAATGAACCACAAAACCGACCGAGCAAAGACACTGACAAAATGAGGAACTGCCAACATAGAGCTGGATAGCTCAGTTGGTAGAGCACCGGAACGGCAATCAAGATGTCGCAGGTTCAAACTCCACTCCAGTCAATTTCATTGTTCAAAAATCATATTGTATTCAAACGATAACTATCTCTTACCTGGCAAGAAATTCATTCTGTAGGGGCTTCCCCTGATGTTCATCTGACCCAGGCGGACGGTGATTGTGTACAACCCCGCCCGACGGACTGTGAATGAAGCTTTGACTTCGTTCATGGTGCCGTACTCTAACGAGCAGGCGACGCGTTGCTGGCTTGCCGTGATCTCCACGATGACGGGAAGGCTGTTGTCTCGGTTGATGATGTAGGGCCTCCGATTCCGTTGGAAAAACTGCCAGAAAAGGGATTTTCAACAAAATACGAGTAAACAAGAATTTGAGAAGTGAGAATATCAAGCAAGATATTAAGACCTTTCATAGGTGGTTACAGGGTACCAAGGTCCAAGGTCCATACAAAATTTGCCCTACACCAAAAGAGTTGCAGTTTCATGCAGCACTGTGTTCTCAAAATCTTTAGCAAGCCTGGGGGGGGGGGGGGAGAACTTAAGGCCACCCTCAGGTTGACCTTGCGACGACACAGAACAGTGATCAAGTGACCAAAGACTTTTCAGGATCAAGCTGCACCTGAAGTATGACTGTTGGGAACGTATCAGTTGCTGATTTTGTGCGACCTGAGTGTAACGGTGACAATATTAAGACAATTGGCATCAGTTGGCATTACAAAACAATGAACAGTCTTAAAAGAGTAGAACATTTCAACTCTTGCGCCTTGACGGAATGTGTTCCGACAGGTGGGAATCAATTGCAGTCGCCCTGTGTGAAGTTATGACGTCGTGTTCACATCCGGATCAACTTATTTCACTGTGTAACCAATCAGCGTATGGCACAAATAACCGAATGAACAGACGTGTCCGTGGCAGACCGTTTGATTGTTATCAACACGCGCAACGCTATTTTGAAGATGTCACATAATCACGTCTATGCCGAGGAATCGTGATCGCGTCCTGGGTGACGTGAGCATGGTTGCGATTATTTTGTGTCGAGATGCAGCTTGTTCCATAAGAATCACACGATTTCTCAGTTTTGTGACCTTAGCGTAACATTTCTGCTTGATGCCGACGGCTCCGTCGTGGCGCAAGGAAATCGCAGGTCGACCTGAGGCCTCCTTGAGATTGTCTGGAGTTTGCTAGGTGAGCCTTATACCAAATTCCTGCCATTGAAATTCATAAGTCCCCATGCAAAATGCCATCATCCACTGAATTAGTAAAAGTGCACTTTAAAAGAAACAGTACTGAAACAGAAGATGGTGCAGAGCGATCACTCATCACAGCTCCACTGTGTTGAACAATCTACATGTGTGCATTGACTTTTTTAATCTGATTGTGTAGAAACTCTAGCGTCTTTGCATGGGTGCTGAATGCACAATGGCAAATGGCGATCAAGTGTTTGTCAATCAGGAATCTCTGTACTTGTGTATACATGTAGTCCTTATGGTCTTGGTGCACGAGAACCCCCTCACATGGTTTCAAAGCAAGAGTTAGGTAGGACTCGGATGCGTTACTACTGTACGTCTGACACCACACAAAGAAGAAGCAGGTTAGTGCACATTTAGAAACAAGTAATTGTACATACTCTGCTCTTCGTGTGGAATCACTGCCTGCATACAGATTGTTCTCCCCACAGAGCTCTCACGTGGCTACGGCTGGAAATTACACACACGCCTATGGTAGCGGCTACAGCCACTTCCCATGGACCTGTGAGTTATTTCTAGCCGTAGCCAAGTAATTGAAATTACACAGGCGCCTATGGTAGCGGCTACAGCCACTCCCCATAGACCTGTGTGTTATTTCTAGCCGTAGCCAAGTAACTGAAATTACACATGTGCCTATGGTAGCGGCTGCAGCCACTTCCCATAGACCTGTGTGTTATTCCCAGCCGTAGCCAAGTAATAGAAATTACACATACGCCTATGGTAGCGGCTACAACCACTTCCCATAGACCTGTGTGTTATTCCCAGCCGTAGCCAAGTAATTGAAATTACACACGCGCCTATGGTAGCGGCTACAGCCACTTCCCATTGACCTGTGTGTTATTTCTAGCCGTAGCCAAGTAATTGAAATTACACATGTGCCTATGGTAGCGGCTGCAACCACTTCCCATAGACCTGTGTGTTATTCCCAGCCGTAGCCAAGTAATAGAAATTACACACACGCCTATGGTAGCGGCTACAACCACTTCCCATAGACCTGTGTGTTATTCCCAGCCGTAGCCAAGTAATTGAAATTACACACGCGCCTATGGTAGCGGCTACAGCCACTTCCCATTGACCTGTGTGTTATTTCTAGCCGTAGCCAAGTAACTGAAATTACACACGCGCCTATGGTAGCCGCTCCAGCCACTTCCCATTGACCTGTGTGTTATTTCTAGCCGTAGCCAAGTAATAGAAATTACACACACGCCTATGGTAGCGGCTGCAGCCACTTCCCACAGACCTGTGTGTTATTCCCAGCCGTAGCCAAGTAATAGAAATTACACACGCGCCTATGGTAGCGGCTACAGCCACTTCCCATAGACCTGTGTGTTATTCCCAGCCGTAGCCAAGTAATTGAAATTACACACGCGCCTATGGTAGCGGCTACAGCCACTTCCCATAGACCTGTGTGTTATTCCCAGCCGTAGCCAAGTGAAATTACACACGCGCCTATGGTAGTGGCTACAGCCACTTCCCATAGACACGTGTGTTAATCCCAGCCATAGCCAAGTAATTCAGACGCGGCCTTACCTTGATCATAAAGCTCATCGTTTCGCCAACCACGGCCGGCTCCACCCAGCCCCACTCCACTTTACAGCAGTTGACGTCCAGCAGACTGCCTGTGATGTAGTTGAGGATGGACGACGGCCTTTCCCGCCCCTGCTGTTGGGGGATTCCCCGGGCTAGCTGGTAGTTACCCCAGACCCAGAAGCTGAGGAGACCCAGGGGCATGGTCAGGATGAGCAGACGATCTGATCAGAGGAGTTAATAACATACTCAGTTGAAAGAGCAGTGCAAACAGTGAAAAGAGGACTGAAGAAAACAAGTGGTTGCTCACTTGAAATTAGACTCAAAAAACTCTTGATAACATATAGTATTACTCCCCAGAGTACAACAGGGAAATCCCCTAGTGAGTTGTTGTTTAGAAGAAAGATTCGTAGTAGACTTGATCAGTTGTGTTGTGTATGGACTTGAATTAATGGCACAATTGCAGAATACCCCGCCACTCACCTATCCCACCTCGTATCCGGATACGCGGATACGGAGTCACGCTTGGATGCTCAACCAAAACCACACTCGTGTGCCACCCCGTATCCCCGTATCCGCGTATCCACTTCCCGGCACCTACTTTGGACTTAAGACGTTTTCCCCCAAAACCACACGCGTGCGCCACCCCGTATCCGCGTATCCACTTCCCGGCACCTACTTTGGACTTAGACGTTTTTCCCCTGCTCCCCATTCAAATCACGTTGTCTCTGCCTTCGTTATTTTCCAACATGGATATATGGATGCTTCGTTCTCAAAAATAATACAGGGAAATAGCGCCCTCTTTAGACCCTCCAGAGCTCAAATCCACCCCGTAAATTGTATCCGCGTATCCACTTCCCGACATCTACATGTACTTTGGACATTTCTGCAACATTTTCCGACTGCGTAGCCATTTATTTTTAGGGGGTAATTTTCGCGTGGCAGGGTATTCTGCAATTACTCCGAATTAACACTAGTAGACTATTAATGAACTTCTAGTCTATGCACATGCATGCGCGCATAGATCTGTATGGAAAGTTCTAGCCCCATAAATGTGGCCTATTTACTGGACTGCCTCCGTAAACATAGGCCACACATCCACATGTACAAAAACGTGTCGCACTTTGCCAAATTTTGATTTTCGCATTTAGGATTAGTTTGTAGGTTTTTTTTGCTTTAGAAGCATACTCACCCTCTTTATAGGCTAATCAGAAAGTGCTGCCTTTTTCAGATGTACATTTTTCGTGAAATTTCCAGATTCATTTTTACACGTTTGCGTATCAAAATTTCAACATGAAATTTCACAAAAATTAGACATCTGAAAAAGACAGCACTTTCTGACTAGCCTATAATTTTAGAGGTTGAGTATGCTTCTAAAGCAAAAAAATCCTACAAACTAAGCCTAAATGTGAAATTCAAAATTTGGCAAAGTGCGACATGTTTTTGTACATGTGGATGTGTGGCCTATGTTTATGGAGGCAGTCCAGTAAATAGGCCACATTTATGGGGCTAGGAAAGTTCCAGTACTTTCCCTCTCTTGTTCAAGTGATAGTTTCGAGTGACATGTTTGGCCACTTTCGGCCCTTTCCCTAGCTGGAGTTACCCAGCCCTGAGTTTTATCATTGGGTTGTCTATTAGGGCTGGAGCGAATTTTTCTCGTAACTTGTAGTATAGGCAAACATTTTTGGAAAATGTTCAATTTTGTCCCCGTTACACACTAATTGCAACTGCAACTCACCCCAAACTTGCCTGGAATAACCATTACACAGGTCCTTGAAGTAAAAAACGATCCACGATGAAGATTCAGCCTACAATTGCAGTGAAAACAGGAGGAATAACCGCTAACTTGACAACCTTGCTGGATTGGCCAGGACCGCAATTGGTTTGTGCACAAAAAAAATTGTGTACAATGAATGGCGGTCGATTAACAGGCACAGAGAGCGATCGCTGTCAACTACTCGGTTTTGCCGGCTGCGCTGGCTGTTGGCGCATGACGTCACGCGGAAGCGTAACACCCGATGACTGTTTCATGCACTATTGGTTGCGGTTCCAGTACCAAAGCTGTGATGCGAGTGGTAAACCTTATATTAGTGCATGAAACAGTCATCGGGTGTTACGCTTCCGCGTGACGTCATGCGCCAACAGCCGGCGCAGCCGGCAAAAATGAGTAGTTGACAGCGATCACTCTCTGTGCCTGTTAATCGACCGCCATTCATTGTACACAATTTTTTTTGTGCACAAACCAATTGCGGTCCTGGCCAATCCAGCAAGGTTGTCAAGTTAGCGGTTATTCCTCCTGTTTTCACTGCAATTGTAGGCTGAATCTTCATCGTGGATCGTTTTTTACTTCAAGGACCTGTGTAATGGTTATTCCAGGCAAGTTTGGGGTGAGTTGCAGTTGCAATTAGTGTGTAACGGGGACAAAATTGAACATTTTCCAAAAATGTTTGCCTATACTACAAGTTACGAGAAAAATTCGCTCCAGCCCTAATACTAACAACCCAATGATAAAACTCAGGGCTGGGTAACTCCAGCTACCCTTTCCCTAAGTTATCAAAGTCTCCGTGTCAATTATCGAGTTGTAAAGTTACCCCAAGTACACAACATCAGTATTATTCAGCATTCGGCCTGAACACAAAATTATTTTTTCCCAAAACATCTCCGGATTACATCGTTGTTGAGTGCCCTCTACAATGCTTTTAATTTTATGATACGTACTGCGCAGTGTTCTCCAACATGTAGAACAAACCTGGCGCCCCGCCATGCTTTCTGCCATTGTGTCTGCGGCGCCCACCATGTTTAAGAAGTCCCCGCCAAGCTTTAACATCCTGCTGCCAGGTTTAAATTTTTTGACTCTACAGTGTACATTTACAACTAAAAGAATTTAGAAACAAGAATAACCACTTCATTTTCGAATAAAATTGAATGACTTCCCGCTGAACCTATGTTTGCGATGCGCGCAGATCATAACTCAATTCTCTATGAGTCATATGATCGATGCAGTTTAGTCTGGTTCTGACTATTCCGTTCTCCTCTATCATCATATTATTCGGGGATCGTCTGGTAACAAGATGTACCATTGTCCCATGCAAAATAATGCTACACGACCTACGTACTGTACATGTACATGTACAGTACGATATACGTACACACGTGCTTGGACTGCAGGCCTGGCGACGTGCGTGTTACTGTTAAATACGTTCGCGGAATTTGCAGCGGGCATTGGCATCGTTTTTAATAGGCTTTGATTAAAGGATGTTTTAAACCCTAGACTTCGGGGTTAAGGCTAACTTTTGTTGGATGTTGTATTCCATGAACTTCAGTTGTAGATAGCCTTATAATATAATAAAATGTTTCGTTTGCTTCCCAGTAAATTGCAGGGCTTGAAACGACGGCCACGACGCGACGGCCAGTGCCGTCGTTGCCTTCTCACTGGCCGAGGTGCCCCACAAAAAAATCCCCGTCTTCACGGCCAGTTTTGCCTTGCCCCATATTTACCTTGGCCGTCGTGCCCTTTTTGCAAAAACATCCATCAGCCTATTAAAATCACTACAATCCTTGATTTCAGTTGTTTTTCCACACATTGACAATGTATTTCGATGTCATCCCAGCCCGATCGGGGTTGTCTTAAAATCTCGCTTAATGATCACACGCACGGCCGGCCGTGGCCAAACACCAGCGATTCCCCATGCACTGTACGTACGTAAGTACGATGTGACAACTTAATCCCCAGTTCCGGAGTGTGCCGATACTTCAAATTAAGTAGCGACAACCCCACCGCAAAAAAAATATATCTGTATTAGTACACACACACACCAGCAGGAGTACGTACGGCAGATCTTACGTGCAGCCAACCGACTTTCTTTTTCTCAGTGCTTGCACGCGCGGTACTATGGAACGCCAAAGAGGCATTTAATGTGATCATCGAATCGGTGATGGACTTTTGCAATCGGTGATGCATATTCACGATCGGTGATGGACTTTCGCGATCGGTGATGGACTTTTACTGGTGATGCATATTCACGATCGGTGATGGACTTTCGCGATCGGTGATGGACTTTCGCGATCGGTGATGGACTTTTACTGGTGATGCATATTCACGATCGGTGATGGACTTTCGCGATCGGTGATGGACTTTTACTGGTGATGCATATTCACGATCGGTGATGGACTTTCGCAATCGGTGATGGACTTTTACTCAACGACTGGTCATCGCAGCTTTGATCACCGATCGCGAAAGATCATCACCGATCGCGAAAGTCCATCACCGATTAAATGCCACTTTTGGCGAAACAGGAACGCCAAAGAGGCATTTAATGTGATCACCGAAACGGTGATGGACTTTCGCAATCGGTGATGGACTTTTACTCAACGACTGGTCATCGCAGCTTTGATCACCGATCGCGAAAGATCATCACCGATCGCGAAAGTCCATCACCGATTAAATGCCACTTTTGGCGAAACAGGAACGCCAAAGAGGCATTTAATGTGATCACCGAAACGGTGATGGACTTTCGCGACCGTCGCATCTGTGTGTTGCGTCGTAATCATTTGCACGTATTATACTTATCTACATGTATGTTCCTTGCTCTGGAGCAATTTAAATTTAATTGCAAATGCGCAGAGCCTTTATTTTGCTCTTCTGTTTTTTTTAATACCTTTCGCGAAAATCTGATAAATTTTACTTCCGCGTAACCGATGTAATTTTCGAACCATGGTGTGTGTGTTTGATAAGAATTAAATTTAGAATTTAATCATTTTTAAGATTAGAAAATATTATCATTGTTTTTTCAAAGAGCAATGATTCGATGTGTACATTTTTGTAATGCAGCATGGTACTCAATCTGCTAAGACCACTGTGGGAAATAGAGCTAGCTCTATGGTTTGTGCCAGCCATGTCTTCTTTGGCAATCAATCACCTTGTCCCTTTAGCCCTCGCAATAACACGTGCTTCAGGTCTCCACTTACCAGCTACCATTTTTTTTTGCAGTCGTGGAATTGGGGCACGATCGAGGTCAATCGTTTTTACATGGGGGCTCACAAATTGGGTGTTCCACATGCAAACGCGTTCCATGCACCAACTGACGTTCAGCAAAATAATGGAATCCTTTTCAATTTTAAGAACATATACCTTTACATCATGTACATGATGTATAGGCTACAACGGTCTACAATCGAGCCGCAACTTCCGAGATCTTTTCGAGCTTGTCTTAAGTGGCCTTGT